CTTAATTAATTACTTTTTATTTTATTTATTTAAGGAAATAATTATTTTTTAATAATAATAAAACATTTTATATAACATTAAATTTCGTCTATTAGAATAATCTTAAAAATCAATTTTAGTGAACTTTTCTTTTTTATTTTTTATTATTGTATGTCAGAAACACAAATTACTTATCCTAAGCGAGAAAATAAATGGAATGATGTTTTCTTTTATTTTCTATTTAATACAGCAGCAATTGGTTCAGTTATATTAGCTATTTATAATACTCTGAAATCAACTCCAGATTATTCAATAGTTTGTTTTATAGTAAAGTTATAATAAAAAATAGTATTAATTTAGTAGTTAAAGAATCATTTAAGTTGGATTAATTTAATGCCACCAATACATTTATTTATCCCATTTGTTTTATTTGCTGGCTGTATTTTATCATATTGTTTTATTTTATTATTGAATAGATATACAAAGTTATGTGTTTATACTTTTAGTATTGTATTACCAATTATTGCAGGTACAATTATTTTAGTTGCGTCAATATTTACTATTCACCAAGGGATATATACATTTGTAATATCTTTAATATTTGCTTTATGTTTCTTTATTTCTCCATTAATTATCTTCTTTTCAAGAACCAAATTACCATTAACTATTGAAATACTGAAACATTCTACATTTACTTTATTACATAACACATCAATTTTATTCATTTTAGTCCCAGTAGTCATGGTATTATGTGTTTTAATTTTTGTCGTTATTTGTCATTCATTATTAGTCCAATACTTGAGTGGAACAACTCAAAATAATGATTATTATCCACCAACATCTTTTTATCCAACATTTTTATTTCAAGTATTTATGTGTTATTGGATGGGAAATGTAGTCAATGGAATATTTACTGTATGTTCATCAAGTGTGATTGCTCATCATTATTTAAATAATAATGAAATAGGTGGAGATTTTACTGAATCACTTATTCATTCAACTACAAAATCATTTGGTTCTATTGTTTTAGGATCATTATTATTATCTGTTGTTCAATTTCTTAGATTTTTATATGAAATAACAAATCAAGAGGATGACGATGATAAAAGCTCATTTACTTGTCTTATTCATTGTTGTTTAGATTGTATTCTTAGACTTATTGAAGAAATTCTCCAATACATCAATAGAATGACTTATGTTATAGTTGGTATGCACAGAACTTCATTCATTCAATCAGCTAAAACAGCATGTAGTTTAATTAAAGATAACATTACTATGGCAATTATGGAAGATACTATAATGGGGTCTGTCATTTTTGGACTTACTTTAGTTTCAGGTATTATTAGTGGATGTATTGGGTCACTAATTATGATGATTATATTTAGAAGTATGGTTCATTCTATTATTGCATTTATTATTTCAATGATTATTGGATTTCTTGTTACTGGATTCTTCATGAATGCTGTTCAAACTTCTACTGACACAATTATGTTATGTTATACTGAAGATATGTTAGTTTATAATGGAATTCATTGTGAAAAATTTGGGGATATTGTAAATGGATTTGACCGATATCATTCATTTAATTCAAACAATCCAATTCTTACTGAAGAGGCAAATGATTTAGATGGTGTCTATACTAGTTAATACTAAATACATTTTTGTTCTTCATTAACTCATTTTTATTTTTTATAACAAATATATTTTTATTTCTTTTATAAGTAGTAATGAATTAACTCTCTTTCGTTTTATTGTTTTAATTTTTTATGACTTATAACAGCCTACTAACATGTGTTAGTTGTATCTACTACCCAACTTAAACTCCTAAATATTGGTTTATTAAGTTGTTTACAGAAACGTATGTTAATACCTTTTATATTCTTTATAAAAACATTGTTATCTTAATTTTTTTTAAAAGAAGACAGACTTAATTTTATATTGTTAATTATATCTTTATAATTGACATTATCCGATTTTGAAAAAAAAGGTTGTTCTTATTACAAATGAAAAGTTAAAATTTCTTATGTATGAATAAGTAAGATTAAATTCACTTAACAAGTAAGTATTTCATATGTTATTTAGTAAGCAAATATCATACAATTTATTAAGACTTTTCATAAAGATTTTAGAAGATAATTTGTTTATTGAGAGTAAGTAAAAAATATTATAGAGTTAATTTAATGTTGTTTGATAAATATTTTCATAAACAAACACAGTCAATATAATTGTTTATTTGTTTAATGAATTATTTCCTTAAAATTTTTTAAGACTAAAAAACATAATTTAAAAAAAAAAAATAAATAAATAAAACCTTGCCTAAAAGAGTCTAAAAAATGCTGGAGTTAATTACACAAAAATAATTAAATTTCGTATGAAAAGATTCTTAATTTATATACAATTTTAGGTGATATTTTTGGATTATATGCCTATTATTAGATTTAGTATATTGTTTCATTTGTATGGATTGTCTGAAAATGATTTGAAACAATAACTCTAACAATATAAAGGTAATTCTAAATTTGGAAGAAAATTACTGCTCAGAAATTATTCTATTAATTTTATTTAAAATAAAAATTCATAAATACTAATAAAATATCGTACTTTGTGGATTTCATAACCATTTATTATGTCAAAGAAAAATGAAAACATTTTTTTTATTTGGTTTCAACAATCTGTCGATTAATTAACTCCATTTATGAACAACTCAATTTTTATCATACTAAACATTTTTTTTATTTGTTTTAAGAGACACATCCTTTGCGTAAAACAATTCCTCTAGAACCACCTTGTTTTCTTATATAATGTACTTCTTTTTATTAATGGTTTTTATACTGATATGAGAAATATAAACAGTTCTATTTAATACTCAAGATTCATAAAAATAGGTTTAAACTTTTTCTGTTATACTAAAAGGTAATTTAAAGATGTAATATCAAACCAACTTGACCATTAATTTAATTATCATTATATTATGAGACACTTTGCGTTTAAATGGATATTAAGTATATTTACAGTAAATCACTGAAAATATAAAAATAAAGAAAACGAAAAAAAAATAACAGGAAAGGATTAGAAAAGATTGTTTATTCCATTCAATAAAAAAAGAAGGTTCTATTCTTGATAAATGCGAAACACTATTTTTGAACGAATGAAATTTTTGAGGAGTTTTTGGAATCTCAAATTCATTGGAACCACATTGAATGATGGTAATGATACTATGTTTATTAACAATATTTGTTGGTATAAATGCAGAAGAAGTTAGTAAGAAGGAATATGAAATTATTTCAGTATGTGGAGATGGTATTTGGGACTCATTCTCGGAAGAATGCGATGGTATACAGGGATGTGGGAGTGATTGTCAATGTGAAAAAGGATACTCATCTGATGGTAAAGGAAATTGTATTATGTCTTGTATGTATGGAGATGGATGCTTGTCAGGATGCTATAAACCTGATAAGTGTAGTTCATGTGACACAAGAAGGTATAAAAAAGATTGTACTGAATGTCAGCCAGGATATATGTGGTTTGGAGAAGGAAATTGTTCAAAATACGATGTCTCAACTATTCAAAGTTGTAGAAGTTTCATTAATGAATCAGAGCAATTATCACGTGAACTTGGGTTGACATATAATCCGTTTAAAGTTCTTGTAAAAAAAAGAAATACTTCACAAACAGTTACTTATACAATGAAGGTACCTGAATTACCTGTTTCAAAAAGAAGACTCCAGTTAACACATTGTTCTAGATATATAGATCCGAGTCGTCCATATACATATGGTGTATGGGTTGAAATCACCTCTGAAGAACTTACAGAGGTAGTTATAGGGTTAGATAAACAATATTCAATAGATGATGTTAATTCTCAAAATTTGCAAGAAAGTAAAATTGGAACAGACCTTGCATTTGTTATTATTAGAAATTGTCTTGACTCAGTTGATTCAAAGAAAGATCCGGAATGTCTACATAGAAATGGAGGATTATCAGAATATGTTTTGTCTCCAAGAGTCTCAGTTATTTTAAGAAAGGATATTCCTTATTATTTATTTATTCATTCAAAATATGCATCTAAGACAATTCCTGAATTCACCTTTTATATATCTGATATGAATCATGCGTGCTCTACTAATTATCGCAGTGTTCCTATGGTTTTAATCTCAGACAGAGAAGGATACAGTAGTGTACTAGAATTAGAAAAGGCTATGACATCAAGAAATCTTTGTAATCAAGATATTACAAAAGGATTTTGGTTCAAGATAATTGGAAGTGATTTGACAATAGATATTTCTACTTGTGACTCTGGTGCTTTTGATGTTGCTATTGATCTTATTGAAGTAAAATTAAGTGATTATAAGTTAGAAGATAATACACCAGATCTTTCTCCAATTGATTGTAGTAGTGCACCAGCAAAGTGTCTTGCAACAAGAACATCAGGATGTGGAGGTGACTCTCGTCTTGCTAGACTAATTCAGAAAATAGATAGAGAACATATATATTTCGTATTTCTTGAAATAAATGAAGAATATTCTGCAACAATTAATTTAACAATTAAAACAA